GCATAGGAATGTCCATCCTGCTACTAGATTGAGTTGAGGAGCATAGCAATGTCCATCCTGGCACTAGATGGAGCCAGGGAGCATAGGGATATCCATCCCACCACTAGATGGAGTTAAGGAGCAAAATCCTATGCCCCCTTGGCTCCATCTAGTGGCAGGAACGCCATATGAACGACATTCGCCCAGTAAATGGCTGAGTTTTAAGTTTTATGAATCCACCCCTAAATAAAAGAAACTAATATACCCTAAATACACCCCCCGCCTAAAAAAAAGCACTCTTTCCAAAAAAAAATAAAGAAAAAGTAAATATTTTTCAAGCATATTTAGCCTCAGGAACACAAGGAGCAACATTTAGACGTTCTGCCGCGGCAGCAGAAATTTTGCAGAGAGTGAAATCTGTAACTTTGCAGAAAAATCAGTTTAATCAAAATGGCTCCCCTCTTCCTTTCTTACCTCTGCTGTGCTTCCCTGCTGCTCCCCAGAGGCCTTTTTTCTGGGTTTGGGAAAAAAGGTGATATCCTCATAGGTTGCAGTTCTTAGGCCTGAGAAGCCAAACACCAGGCCTGAGCACTGTCGCATGAAGGATGGAGGAAGTCCGCAACACAGTGTAAGCTCCGACAATGTATGACATGGAGCTTATACTGGGTATGGGTTCCTGGTTCCGGTTGAACAGACTGCGGAGTCCATACCCAGTGTAAGCTCAATGAGGAATGATGTTGGAGCTTACACAGTGTTACTGACTTCCTCCCAGGGTGAGTGTGGATGAGGCGCTGGTCCACAAACTTTCTTGAGTTACATAGGAGCAATATTTGTGCCTGATGGCTTGGTTCTGGCAGCTCTACACAAAATCGGGTGCCCTTCAAGTGGAGGGGACACCCAGAATGAGCAATCCACGTGAACAAAGCCTAAAACAGAGAAACAGGTAATCATCTCAAGAGTCCAAAAGAACCTTTATTGGCTTCACAAATGGTGACAAGAAGATGTGCACAGCCAACACGTTTCTGAGGTCAGGAATACCCCTTCTTTAGGCCTTAAGCAATGGACAACAGGACTCTGATGAACTCTAAACCTCCAGCCCCTGCACACAATCCTATTTCTCAGGCAGGAGTGGAAATCCTCAAATCTTTACCAGCAGTTCAGCATTTGTACAAGTAAAACATCTAGACATCCATTTGATGATGTTTTACAGATGCTTTACTTTGCTTCTGAGGATTTCCACCCCTGCCTGAGAAATAGGATTGTGGGCAGGGGCTGTAGGTTTATAGTCCCTCAGTGTCCTGTTGTCCATTGCTTAAGGCCTAAAGAAGGAGGTTTCCTGACCCCGAAACATGTTGGCTGTGCAAATCTTCTTCTTGTCATTTGTGAAGCCAATAAAGGTTTTTTGGACCCCTGCCTTCCTTTATTTAGCTTTTATTCACTGACCTCCTCCCCTGTCGCTCATGTGATAGTGTTCAGGCCTTGCCATTGGCTGCTTAGTACTAAGTACTACAGGGAAGGTGAGCTTCTTTCAAGAGAACCTGCCACTTTACCTTGAACGGGCAAAATGATAGGGTCTGTCTAAGCAGAATGTGCCAAAGCCATTTGCCCAAGTCATAGTCAACGCAGGGCATCCTACGACAATGATCTGTCTCCACGACAGCATTGCTTTAAAGTTCAAGAAACCATAAGCAGACCTTTAGCGGTTGAACGCGTATCCTCGGTTTTACTGTAAGTGACACCTGGAAATATCCACGTATCAAAGGAAAAAGTTCCCTCTGCGCTTCCAGCAAAGCAATCTCGCCGTTAACCCATCTCCTGCCAGGCGCCTCCGCATCCCAGCTATCTAACCCCTTCGAGCCAGCGCTGTGCTTGCCATCTGCTCCCCATCTGAGTGATTCGTCAGTGTGGTGCTGATGTGGCAGATATAATAAGTTTTTGGGATGCAGTCCAGACCTCTCTCCTCCCTCCTCATTGTCTCTCTCCCCCCCCCTTTTACTTTTTGGCTCGGACGCCTCCTGCTCCCTCCTCCCCGTGTGGGGAATGAAAGCTCTGCTCCTCTCCACATGGCAGAGCTCAGTTGGGAAGAGAAGACGCCGCCGACAATGCGAGAAAGGCAGGTCGAAACAAGAACTCACAGGCAGATTATCTGATCATATGGATAGAAGAATGGAAATATTGGTGGGGCGAATAGAACGACAAAGCGAAAAAGCTGCTACCCCAAAAATAAAAATATCTATATGATGCATCAATGTATTAAAAAAAAAAAATTAATTTGTGCGCAACAGGAGGCGCTTGACATGGCACCTACATATACCATGGTGACTGTTAAAGAAAAACTCTGAGATACCTCCGCACTGCAAGGGTCAAGTACTTGTTTTGGTCTAGTGCAGCAGTGGGCCACTTTGGCCCTCAGTCTTACAATGTCCCATGAGACATTGTAAGACTGACTCCCAGGGGCATGTTGGGATTTGTAGGTAGCACAGCTGGAATGCTGGAGCTGCCCACTCCTGGTCTAGGTTCTAAAATAAAGAAAATATACTCACCCGATGCTTGGTCCCACCTGGCTGATAGACTGTTCTCCACAACCTCTTCTCCCCCCAGGCTCCGGCAGTATAAGGACCCATGATGTCATCACGCCCATTCACTTGCATTGGACATGAGAACGCTCATGGAGAATCCATAGCCAGAGTGGAGGGGGAGCGTTGAACAATCTTTTTATTTTTTATTTTAGACACTGGACCAAAACAAGCACTTAAGTGGGGCTAACCCTGCACTGCAAAGATTAATGTTTATTATACCCGGGATTCCTTCTTTAATCTCTGCAGTCAGTTATTGTAGAATAAAAATCCAACACGCAGGGATGGAAACTTTCACATCCGTATGATCAGAACCCCTGAAATGGCACCCACTATCTATCCCAAGGGGTCTATTCGCACTTGCATCTTGCTGCATGAGGATGTATTGCAAGTAGAATCCCCATTATATCCTATCTAATCTGCATCTAAGAAAAACCACAAATAGATTTGAGATGTTTATTTGTACAAATGCTGAACTGCTGGTATAGATCCCGGGATTTCCAGTCCTGCCTGAGAAATTGGATTGTGTGCAGGGGCCGTAAGTTCATCCAGCGTCACAAGGAGGGTGCGGCCCGCACCCGGGTGACACCATTGGAGGGGTGACACTAAAATGACTGGCAGTAATTTTGGTGTCACCTCCTCTGAAAAGTCGGGCACTTGGTCATGGACCTAGAGCCTGACAGCTGCAGGAGAGAGAGGAGGGGACCCTGCAGCATACCTTATCCCGCCAAGTGAACGTCCCCTCCTCTCTTGGTGATGGACGCCGGCAGGTATCAAAAAGATCACCGCGCCCGAGCATGCGCGATGACGTCACAGTGGGGTGTCACCCGGTATCCGCTCCGGGCGACACCCGGCCTCGGGGCGCCCCTATCCTGTTGTCTATTGTTTAAGCCCTGATAAATGTGTTGGCTGTACATATCTTCTTGTCGCCATTTGTGAAGCCAATAAAGTTTTTTTTAACTCTTCTTTTTTTTTTTTTTTTTTTTAGTCTTCACATACATCTTTCTTATTGGCTAGTTCATATATATGTGATGCTGTTGTGGCAAAGATATGGGCCCATTCATTCCTATGCATGTGCATTACCATATGTGCTGCATGCACGGAACAGTGTGAATCCAGTCGACATGCCATTATCTGATGTGTTGTGTTATTCCTATTTTTTTATATGATTGATTGGGGGATACAAAATGCCATTGGTTAGTTTGGCTCCCTTCCTGATATGACCACACTGATTGTGAAAGGGTCAGATCCATCATACAAAGAACCCATCCAGACACAGCTGCCTTACACTGGCCATATACTTTATAATCTGATTGTACAATCTTTGTAAATGCTCTTTAGCTCTACCAAAACTTGATAATAGGAGCAGGGACCTTCCTAGAGCTGGCCATACACTGGTTGGAAATCGGATCAGCATGTGGCCCTGTCAGCACTCCTCTGTTCTTCAAAAGTCTTTTTTTCATTGACTTAATTTTCACCCGAACTGCGCCTGCATCCAAACAGATGGGTATTGAGCAGCCGCTGGAGTCGTGGATGCAATGGCTGTTTATTGTGAATGGCGGAATCTGTGGAGGAACAAATAAAAACCCAGCCTATCCCCCTTGTCTTGCACATTGCAACTGTACCAGCTGCGCTCCACAATCTGTTGGAGTTATATCAATGCTGCATAATCATAATAATAATGTGTCTACCCTGGTTATTTACTCAAGTGACATCTAACCAAGCAGACCCATGCAGAACATACACCGATCAGCCATAACATTGTGACCACCTGCTTAATATTGAGTAGGTCCTCCCTTTTACCACCATAACAGCCCTGACCCATGGAGTTATGGACTCCACTGGACCCCTGAAGGTATGCTGTGGTATCGGGCACCAAGCCGTCAGTAGCAGATCCTGTAAGTTCTGTAAGGTGAGGTGGGGCCTCCATGGATCGGACTTGTTTTTCCTGCACATCCCACAGATCGATTGGAGTGAGATCTGGAGAATTTGGAGGCCAAGTCAACACCTCAAACCTTTTTTGAACCATTTTGCAGTATGGCAGGGCGCATTATCCTGCTGAAAGAGGCCAGGGAATACCCTTTTTATGAAGGGGTGTACTTGGTCAGGAGCAATGGGTGTACGTGTCAAAGTAACATCCACATGAATGGCAGGACCCAAGGTTTCCCAGCAGAACATTGATCAAAGCATCACGCTGCCTTCTCCAGCTTACCTTCTTCCCATAGTGCATCCTGGTGCACTCTCTTCCCCATGTAAGTGACACCCACCTGGCCAGTGGTGTCACAAGGGGGGTGCGGTCTGCACCTGAGTGACACCATTCGAGGGGTGACACCAAAATGACTGTCAGTCGTTTTGGTGTCACCCCCTCTGAAAAGACACTCGGTCATCGACAGTTGTAGGAGAGAGGAGGGGACCCGGCGGCATACCTTATCCGGCCATGTGAACGTCCCCTCCTCTCCCTGCCGTCGTCCATCACCAAGATGGCCGCCGACAGGTATCGCAAAGATGGTCACGCATGCGCAATGACGTCATGAGTGATGATGTCACGGTGGGGTGTCACCCGGTATCCACTCCAGGTGACACCTGACTTCGGGACTCCCCTGCACCCGGCCATTCGCTTTATGTAAAAGAAAACGTGATTCAGACCAAGCCACCTTCTTCCGTTGCTCTGTGGTCCCCTTCTGATGTTCAGGTGCCCATTGTAGGCCCTTTTGGTGGTTGACATGAGTCTGTGGCTATGCAGTCCCACACACAGCAAACAGCGATGCATTGTGTGTTCAGACATCTTTCTATCGGAACCAGCATGAACTTTTTCAGCAATTTGAGCTACAGTATCTATTGGATCGGACTATACGGGCAGCCTTTGCTCCCCACGTACATCAATAAAGCTTGTCTGCCCATGACTGTGTCACCGGTTCACCGATACACACATATCAATTTATGCATATATTACTGCGTTTGGACGCATTTTTTTTATTTGTATTTTTATGGATCTGTATGCAGTCCCGCATTATCGATCTGTAGACGGCTGTGTGCATTTGACCATAGATAAAAATGCACCTGCCTTTTAGATGCCTAAAAAAATGCTAAAAGGCACTGTAATTTCTTTCACCTGTGTGCATGAGGCCCACAGTTCCATTGGAAGTTTATGTGAGAACGCAGGAGCACAATTGGAAGACAGGTACAGAGTGTTGAAATTACATTAACATTTTGACATTTATATGATGTTTTAGTGATCTGGTAGCACAGTCCACGCTGACATGTGGAGCTGCAGCACATATGACAGCGGTGGCTGTATCAGGGAGGTACATGAAAGGGAAACTCTGCTTTCATCTCTGAACACAGAGCAGATGGGTTATTTCCATGACACCATTATTTGTTGATCTGCTTTTCACAACTCTTCAGAAAACATTCTCTCTGCAAAGTTTTGTATACTGTATAACGGGGAGCGGCACGATCCTAAAGATGAGCTCTATTTGTATGTAAAATATCCAGATTCAGTGTCAGACTGGCTGCCACATAAGCACACAGTCCACGTTTATATACACAACGAATTGTTTATACTTCTAGAGAAGTGATGATATTTTGTAGTATTGCTGCTTCCCAATGTAGCGCAGTGACGGGGCCTGGCTGTCCCTAGGATGCTGAGATGTTCTGTGTTATACTTCTCCCTCACTGTGACTCAGGTAATGTTATCACTAATGATGATATTCATTCATAGGTCAGGGTTGTATGATTTTTTCTCTCTCTCTCTCTCTCTCTCTCTCTCTCTCTCTTTCTCTCTCTCTCTCTCTTTCTCTCTCTCTTTCTCTTATATATATTCTCCTTTTTCCAATGTCATTCACTCATTTTCCTTCCAGCTGTAAAGATGAAACCCATATTCTGCCTGAGTGATAGCACCTCCCTCCTGCGTTTCAGCCATGAAAGAAGGGGAAAGTATATGAGGTGGGCATGGCTTAGTGGAGCTCATCCAATAGCAACCCTGTGCTAGAGCCTAGTCTGTTACAGATGTTGAGCTGATCTATGTGGACGGTGTCCAGGCTGCAGAACTCTGAAGCTGTTTAACTTTCATTGTAGGCAGGACTACCTATCACCTTCCCAGTCTAATAAATGAAGGAGGAGTAATTAATTCCTCACGCTGATTTTACATTTATTGAACGAATGAAAGGACAATTCTGGCCAAGCCGACACGTATAGCTGCTATTTTATATCACAAAAGAGTTACAAAGGAGATATAAAGTACTTCCACCAATCAGTTTATAAACACTTTATAAGGCATAATAGTTTAAGCAAAGGGTGCTTTATGGATTCGCTTGGAGATGTTCTCCAAGCAAGAACAGAGGAACAATAACATTGCCAGCTATGTTATCCTGAGGACATTTGCCTTTGCAGGACAAAGTCACAAAGTAAGGGCCCCTCCCTGAAATGAGACGGGAACCTCCCTGAAATAAGGTTTTGCAGGTTGGGATGTCTGCACTACAGACCCACGATGCTGCTGGTACTTACCTACCACCCACTCTCTAAGCTCCTTTCCACCCATTGGAGCCCAACCAAAACCTCTGTTTAGGTTTCTGGTTAGGTATGTCTTAGTGGAGTGCTGGATCCCAGAGCAGACAGAAAACAGAAGTAGAAAACTAACTTTAAAGGCAGCTTTCTGTCAACCAAGGCATCCCAGAGGGTCCCTGGAGTAGTCTGTAGGCCATTAGAAGGATGAGTACAATTCTCCACTGACCGGAGGTTCCGGTATCAGGGAAGGTATCGGAGCATTTGGGCGAGTACGAGTACTCGCCCAAATACTCTGTATCAGCACCGATACAGTTATCGGTATCGCTGCATCCTTAATTTTTATATTCTTATTGGACTGAACCAAGCTTTGTGCCATTCTCATCCTTCCAATGCTTTTGGGTTTCTGGTAAGACCAAGTCAGGACTTATATTAGGACCCCCCGCCTCCTCTCTACCTATGAGAGCAGTCAGGCTTGGTTATTTTGGTTATTGGCTACACAGGCACCAAAAGCTGCATGATTGGAGGAAGGAAAGAATGTGCCATGTACCCCTATAACTGCAAGTACTGGGTTTTCATTGGAGACCTGAAACATGAGGCGCATGGAGGAACATTATAGGCCTCTATAGATCACCATTGCCAATTGTCCCTGTGCCCTATTTACAGTAATGACCAATGAATAACCTTGGTATAGTAAACCAGAAACCAACTCACCAGGAACAGGGCCAAAATGGATGTTAGCATCCATAGAAAAGTTCAATAACTGTGTTGATCAATGTGTTTCAGGAGCACACACATCCCGCTTCCTCAGGGCTTGGTAACGATGAGAGTGTAGGAATGGACTCAGATGTGAGATGTTATTGCAGCTATGGGTCCTTCCAGGACCATCCCAGCCTCAAGTGGTTGCCTCAGTTGGCATCCCATTAGGTCATGTGGTAGGCCTAATGGGATGCACACCTGCTGCCTCCTTTCCATTGGAACCAGGTTCCTAAGAGCTCTTAGCAACCTGTGACGCTCCGGCCTGTGTCCTGCCCAGCTCACTGACGTCATTGGTCAACAGGAGCTGAGCCGGGCACTCTGGCTGGTGTTCCACCTAGCTCCTGGCAACCAATGACGGAATCAGCAAGGAAGGGTGGAGAGGTATAGCTGCTCAGACAGTATCCAGACGCACGGGGCTTCAAGTGGCTGGGGGATCTCCGGCAAGGGTTCACTTTAAGTGTAAAGTGGAAAATTCCTTTACAATTGAAAGTCGTTCTCAATGTTCCCTCTAGGAACCAGTATTCTGTGTGCAGAAAAAAAAATCGTATATGTGGTTTTTGAGAACTTGAGTAGTTTTATTCCCGTGCTCAGTGATTAGCAGGTAAATGGTGGTTAATACACAGTGTTGTTGAGCACCAACCACCGTGGGAGCCAGAATCAGGGAGACCAAAGGAGCACTTAACCCTTGCAGTGCGGGGGTAGCCGGGGGTTTATTTGCCCGGAGTTCTTCTGTAAGAAAATGTCATTCATTTAGGGTATATATATATATATCTACTTAAATGATATTGTATGCCTCCATATTAAAAAAAAAAGGGAGTTCTGTAACATTATTTTCACTGAAGGGTGAAAAAAACACAAGCCCGTCATCATCACATCCATCTTGCTGACGTGCTGGGCAGTATTCAAGCTCCTGTCGGCTTGGCCTGCCTATGTGGCCGCGGCTGGTTTATACATTAAACCGTTTGACTCCCCGAATAGCTAGCGCATAATCAGAGCCACATGGCTTCCAAGTGTCTTGGACCTGGCTTCCACATGGAAGAAAGCAGTCAGCAGTTTTGGGCAAGGATCGGAGCGCCCCTCCTATTTTATTACTGTGTGCAGAGGAGAATAAGAAGCGTAAGTTATAAAAAGACACGGGAGGTGGACGGGGAAGGCCGATGTGCTGCCTGGGGGCCCAAGGTAGAAATGGGGCCCCTTAGAAGAAGTGGCAGCTGCTTCACTTGTGCCATGGCATTCTGGTTGGTACATGAGGAAGTAAGCAGGAAGATTTAAAAAAAAAAAGAAAAAAAAAGGACAGTGTGATTTTTTGTTTTATTTTCTTTTTTTTTTTTTTCATTTTTTTTTTCTTTCTCATTTTTTTTTCTTTCATTTAATTGTATTTGTTTAGTGAGTTCTACTTATGCCCTTATTTTTTTTGCTATTTTTATTTAATAGGTTTGCTTTCATCTGGGATTTACAATAGCAGTTGTGCTTTTCTTTTTTTTGCACAAAGCGGGTCTCTCTCTAAAACCTATAGGGCCCATGCATACCTTCCAAGTGTCCCTCATTTGGAGGGATTGACCCTCGTTTGGGACCAAATGCTTGTGTCCCTCTTTCCTCCTCGGGTGTCCCTCGTTTTGGTCTGATATTCAAATGTCTATGAAAAAAATACTACTTTTTTAAATTCTTCATTTAGTTCCACAAGGCAGTTATGACATAAAATAAAGTCCCTAAAATCTTCAAATCTAAATAACAAAAAAAAAACCTTAAAACAAAAAAGTAAGAAAAGAGTCAAAAATAGCAAACAATAACATATATTGGGAAAATTGCCCTTCACTTCCTGTCCCACAGTCACAACAGGAAGTGAGAGGAAATCCCTCCAAAGAGCAGGAAATCTCTGGCGCTCAGAAGGGTCACCAGAGCTAGATTTCCCATCTATTCTTATGCTGAGGCCAACCCAAGATTTGGAAAGAATGAATCTCCCTAATGGGGAGACAGACAGCAATAAAACCTGACGGGTGTTCTAATTAAGGTTGCCACCTGTCCAGGATTCACCCAGCCAGATCGGGTTTTGAATGCTGTTTCCGGGTTTCATGGCAGCAGAAACCAGGACACAAGATGTCCAGCAGATCTGCAAAAATACTGCAAGCACTATTTTTGCAGATTGCACTGGACCGGAACGCAGGCACTAATGTGCCTGCGTTCCGGGTGCAGG